GTTGGGTTTGGGGGCAGATCTGTGGGGCTGAAGTGGGCCACAGATGTGTGGGGTGGGGTCTGGGGGTCTTCATGGGGAGAACTGGGGTGGAAATGTGGCCCTAAATGGGTCTGGGGGCATCGCTGTTGACTGCTGGTGTTGGGGCGTCATCAAGAGGTGGTGGTGTTGTGGCAAAGGTTGGGTTTGGGGGCAGATCTGTGGGGCTGAAGTGACCCCTAAATATGTAGAGAGGGGTCTGGGGGTCTTCATGGGTAGAGCTGGGGGGAAATGTGTCCCACCATCAACAAGCCGCCATAGAATCCCAGAATCACTGGGGTTGGAACGACCCCAAAGACCTTAAAGGTCCATTAACTGACCCAACACTACCATAACCCCATAGAATCCGAAAATCATTGGGGTTGGAAGGACCCCAAAGACCTCCAAGATTGAAAAGTTGACCCACCACCACCATAACCCCATAGAATCCTCTAATCATTGGGGTTGGAAGGACCCCAAAGACCTTAAAGGTCCAGAAGTTGACCCAACGCCACCATAACCCCATAGAATCCCAGAATGATTGGGGTTGGAAGGACCCCAAAGACCTCCAAGGTCCAGCCATTCACCCACCACCACCATAACCCCATAGAATCCCATAATCACTGGGGTTGGAACGACCCCAAAGACCTCCAAGATCGAAAAGTTGACCCACCACCACCGTAACCCCATAGAATCCTCCAGTCATTGGGGTTGGAACGACCCCAAAGACCTTGAAGGTCCATTAACTGACCGAACACTACCGTAACCCATAGAATCTGAAAATCATTGGGGTTGGAAGGACCCCAAAGACCTTAAAGGTCCAGAAGTTGACCCAACACCACCATAACCCCATAGAATCCCAGAATCAATGGGGTTGGAAGGACCCCAAAGACCTCCAAGATCGAAAAGTTGACCCACCACCACCGTAACCCCATGGAATCCCAGAATCATTGGGGTTGGGAGGACCCCAAAGACCTTAAAGGTCCAAAAGTTGACCCACCACCACCGTAACCCCATAGAATCCCAGAATCGTTGGGGTTGGGAGGACCCCAAAGACCTTGAAGGTCCATTAACTGACCCAACGCTACCGTAACCCCATGGAATCCCAGAATCATTGGGGTTGGAAGGACCCCAAAGTCCTCCAAGACCCAAAATCTGACCCACCACCACCGTAACCCCATGGAATCCCAGAATCATTGGGGTTGGGATGACCCCAAAGTCCTCCAAGACCCAAAATCTGACCCACCACCACCATACCTTGACCGAATCCTCCAACCATACGCGTTGGAACGACCCCAAAAACCTCCAAAACCCCCCATAACCCTCCCCCCTTCCCCCCACCCCCCCAAAAAAAAACAAAAAACCAAAAGCCCCCAGACCCCCAATGTGCCCCCGCCTCCCCCCGCTGCAGGTGGTGAAGGTGAGGCCCAACGACCGGGACGCCAAGCTCAAGTACCAGGAGTGCAACAAGATCGTCAAGCAGAAGGCCTTCGAGCGAGCCATCGCCAGCGACGAGACCAAGCGCTCCGTCGTCGACTCCCTGGACATCGAGAGCATGAGTGAGGACCCCCCCCCCAAAAAAAAATATAACCCCTGTGACCCCCGATTTGTAACCTACTGGGTGCTATGGGGGGTGATGGGGGAGGTTGGGGGGCTTTGGTTGGGGTTGGGGTCGTCTATGGGAGGTTGGGGGTCTGGGGGTTGGGGGTGACCACCAATCTATGGCCAACTGGGTTCTA